TGAATTTAACCAATTCAAAGCTTCCAACACTTGCTCTAATGAGCCAATTCTTACAAAATCAAGATGAAATCATGGTCTATTCTCAAAACATGGACATGCATGTGAGGAATTATGAACTACAACCTCATAACTTCAATATATATACATGCATGCAACAATTAAGCTTCAACACAACAATTTGAGCCATAAATTGGCTCTAGTCTTCAACTTTGCCCTAAACCATGCAAGAATCAATTTAAACACAAGAATGAGAAGATGAATTTCTACCTTAAGTCTTGTATTCAAGTATAGAAACTCAATTGCACAAATCCTTAACAATTTCTTCAAGTTCTCTAGCCAATTCTCCAAGTTGAACTCAATTCCTCACACTCCCTCACTCTAGTCGGCTATGGGACTCAAAATGGCTGAAGAAGTATGTTTGAAGAAGGCTCAAATGTGTTTAGATAGTGGGTCACTAGTGTGGCATTTTGGTGAATTAAGTCAATTGGTGCAATCTATTAACATTTAATCTAATTTAAACATACCAAATCACATTTCGGATAAATACACCATAAAATCACATAAATTCTAATGATCATCAATCAATTTCGGATTCGGCCGCCGATAAGGCCTTCAATTTGCAGTTTAAACACAAAGACATGAACAGATAATTTGGCAGGCAAACAGATAGAGTTGCAATTTAACTAATATACTCAATCAATTCGGCTTCAGTTTTCAGTCAGTCAGTCAATTAACATATTTAGCCTCAGTTTAACAGTAATTAATGGCTTATCAGTAAACAGTGGTGAGGGTTATTACAGTCTCCCCTCCTTATAAAGAGTTTGGTCCTCCAAACTCGAATTACCTTCGTTCTAGAAGAAAACAGAATTCAGTGGAAACAGTTCAGGATATCTTTTAGACATGTCATCTTCCCTTTCCCAGGTGGCATACACGCTACCATGGTTTTGCCAGTCAACTTTCACTAACGGGATCTCTTTGTTTCTCAACTTCTTGATCCGTCTGTTTACAATTTGAATAGGCCGTTCCTCGTTAGTGTAATCATCACTCAGCACTACACGATTAGGCTCTATCACATGGAAAGAATCTCGGAGGTAGTCCCTCAACATAAAAACATGGAAGACGTTATGCATATGCTCCATTTCAGGAGGAAGCGCAACTTGATACGCCACCGAATTGATTTTCTCAATAATCTCATACGGTCCGACGTATCTCGGCGCCAGCTTGCCTTTGACTCCAAAACGAGTCTGGCCTTTCATCGGTGTCACTTTTACAAAAACGTGATCACCTACTTCATACTCTCTGTCCCGTCTTCTGACATCCGCATAACTTTTCTGTCGGCTCTGTGCAGTTTTCAGTCTCTGTTGTATCAGTTTTACTTTCTCAGTCGTTTCATATACAATCTTGGGCCCAAGCAAAGGCCCATCTTCAACTTCTGCCCAACAAATCAGAGATCTACATTTTCTTCCATACAATGCCTCGAAAGGCGCCATACCAATACTTGAATGGAAGCTGTTGTTGTAGGCGAATTCAGCCAATGGCAAATGGCTTTCCCAGTTTCCCTGAAAATCAAGGGCATACATTCTCAGTAAATCCTCCAGAGTCTGGATGGTTCTTTCTGACTGGCCATCTGTCTGAGGATGATAGGCACTACTCAGTCTCAGTTCAGTACCCAATGCAGTCTGTAAGCTTTGCCAGAATCTCGATGTAAACTTCAAGTCCCTATCAGAAACAATGGACACAGGCACTCCATGCAATCTAACAATCTCATCAATATAGAGTATAGCCAGTTTGTCCGCATCATAGATTGTTTTGACAGGTAAGAAGTGAGCAGATTTAGTTAATCTATCAACTATAACCCAAATTGAGTCCGTACCTTTACTGGAGCGAGGCAATCCCACAATAAAATCCATGGTAATATGCTCACATTCCACTCCGGTATGGATAAGGGTTGCAGTAAGCCTGCGGGTCGTTGATGTTCCGCTTTGACCTGTTGGCAATGAAAACATTTCGATACAAAATCAGCAATTTCTTTTTTCATTCCTAGCCACCAGAAATTCAGTTTCAAATCTTGGTACATTTTTGTATTCCCTGGATGGATAAACAGTCTCGAATTGTGGCCCTCTTGAAGAACTCTCCTTTTCAGTTCAGTATAATTCGGTACACAGTCTTCCCTGAAATTTCAGTACGTTATTTTCAAATTTGAAACCCGGTCTCGGTTTAGATTCTCGTTCTTCGATGATCTTTTCAAGAAGTCATCGTGTTGCTGTTTCTTTTTAATCTCTTCAATCAGTGCCGGTTGAGCAGAAATAGCAACTATTGTTCCATCTTGTTCTCGCAAAACAATTTCAATTTCAGACTTTTCAAGGTCACATAGCAACTCTTCCTGTCTGGTGAGTAAACAGGCTAAGTTCCCAATCGATTTTTGACTCAATGCATCGGCAACGGTGTTGGCTTTCCCCGGATGGTACAGAATCTGTAGGTCATAGTCGTTAATCAATTCTAGCCATCTCTACTGTCTCATATTCAGTTCTTTCTGTGTGAAGAAGTACTTCAAACTCTTGTGATCGGTATATACTTCACACGTAGCCCCATAAAGGTAGTGACGCCAAATTTTCAGTGCAAACACTACTGCAACAAGTTCTAGATCATGGGTCAGGTAGTTCCTTTCATACGGTCTCAATTGTCGGGAAGCATAAGTAATAACTCTCCCATTCTGCATTAAAACACATCCCAAACCCTTATGAGAAGCATCACGAAGAATGGTAAATCCATCCGTACCTGAAGGTAGGGTAAGAACCGGCGCAATCACAAGTCGAGTTTTCAACTCTTGGAAAGCTGATTCTCTTTGGTCAGTCCAGTCAAATGATACCCCCTTCTGAGTTAATTGAGTCAACGGTAAGGCAATTTTGGAGAAATCTTTGACAAATCTTCTGTAGTACCCGGCTAATCCCAAAAAGCTTCGGACTTCTGTAACATTCGTTGGTCTAGGCCAATTTACCACTGCTTCAACTTTCTGTGGATCAACTAAAATTCCATCCTTACTAATAACATGTCCCAAAAACATAACATGATCAAGCCAAAATTCACATTTAGACAGTTTAGCAAAAAGTTTATGTTCTCTTGGGGTCTATAGGGCAAGTCTCAGATGATGTTCATGTTCTTCTCTACTCTTAGAATAAATCAGAATGTCGTCAATGAATACAACAATAAAGTCATCGAGGAATGGTTTAAAGATTCTGTTCATAAGGTCCATGAATGCAGCAGGTGCATTGGTAACTCCGAAAGGCATAACTAAAAATTCGTAATGCCCATACCTCGTTCGAAAAGCAGTTTTATCAATGTCTTCTGGTTTAACTTTCAGCTGATGATATCCGGATCTGAGATCTATCTTAGAGAAAACTTGAGCACCCTGTAACTGATCAAATAAGTCATCAATACGCGGTAATGGATATTTATTTTTCATAGTTACCTTGTTCAATTCACGGTAGTCGATCCAGAGCCTCAGTGAACCGTCTTTCTTTTTCACAAACAAGACAGGTGCGCCCCACGGTGAAGTACTAGGCCTGATGAACTTTTTGTCTAACAGTTCTTGCAGCTGAACTTTTAGTTCTTTCAGTTCGGTAGGTGCCATTTTGTATGGAGCTTTAGATACTGGCTGTGTACCCGGAATTACATCAACAGTGAACTCACACTACAAGAATTAACACTTTTGCCGACCAAAAAATTGGTCGCTAAAAGCCTATTTTTGGTCGGCAAAAGTAATCTGCGACCAATTTTTTTGGTCGCTACTTTGGTCGCCAATTGAGGGTCGGCAAAAGTAATTCGCGACCAAAATTTTGGTTGGTCGCGAATAGTCGGATTTGCCGACTAAATTTTTGGTCGCTAAATATATCATTACCGCGACTAATTCATTTAGTCGCTAAAACACTTTGGTCGCGAAAAGTGATATTTTCCCGACCAAATATCTTAGTCGCCAATTGACACATTTCGCGACCAAAAAGTTTTGTCGCCAATTATTACATTCAATGACCAAAAAGTTTGGTCGCCAATTGTGACATTTCACGACCAAAAAATTTGGTCGCCAATAGTCAACAAATCGCCGACTAACAATTTAGTCGCCAAAAGGTAAGGAATTGCCGACCAATAATTTTAGTCGCAAAAGTGTAGAATTTGCCGACCAATTTTGTAGTCGCCAAATCTCTATTTTTTTATTTTTTTTTTAGAACATTCAATTTTTGTTTTTAAACATTCAATCCAATATCGAACAAAATTCATTCAACCCAACCACAATTAAGGAACAATAACATGTAAAAAATAAAAAATTGCTCATAGTTTCGGTACCACAATTGAAGAACAAAATTCATGACACACAACCAAAGAATTTAACTAAGAAGAAAACTTGAGAATTTAACTTGTATACAAGAGCAATAGTACGTACAATATGTGATTTGGCAAAAACAATCACCAAAAATTCAATCTCAAACTACACTTTGCTCTCACCAAAAATTAGAAGAACAAAGAAATCAAAGAAAATAACAAGGTATGAGACTATTGGAACAGTTCTTCAACTCTTTCTGTAGTACGCTCATACCACAATGACATCCTATTGCAATTTCATCCAATCTGAACGGGCATACTTAGGATTCAAGCCCAACAACCTGCAGTCTTCATCACTTATACCCTTCAGGACATTTAAAACCTGTAAAAATGTCATATAATGCTCCCCTTGTAAGTCTTGATCAGCTAGAAATTGACAAGAACAAAACATACACGCACAGAATTTGGGACAGAAAATGCATTCTGTTAGTTACCCAAGCAACACACTTCTTCCCCCAGCACCTTACCACAAAGTAGGCTAAGAGAAATATTTTACCAGTCAGCGGTTATGATTCTTTTATTCAGTTGCATGAAGATCCTCCTTATAGAATGCTCCACTTCATAGATAATATTTAATACCAACTGTCATGGACATAAGAAGAAGAATAAGAAGAATAAGGTGCTGATAGAAGTCTAAGCGCATTCTTGTGACTATTAAGGAAGGGAGGCTACAACAGATTCAAATAACCAGAAAGCATCTGATCCTTTCAAGTGGGCTCAATGTTTCATAAATCAAAACAAATTGGCTCACAGGAAGTTCACAAATTGACATCAATAAAATTGTAGTTGTCGTCTTTTGGCAATTAAGATTTGATAAAATAAAAAATAATAATAATAATATTAATACAAATTAGCTATCCATTTCTGATTGGGCATTATTACTTCGTAACAAACAGCATTAATCTGGGATTACAATTATGTTCGGAGTTGGATTCCATACCATACCCTTTACTTCTTTCCTACTCTTCTCCGAGTAAATACAAGAGCTTCACAGACAATACCCCTTATTATTAACAGAGTGCAATCATAGAACTAACTATAGGATCCGGAAGAACTTACATAGAAAGGAATATAAGTTTGTCTGCCATTAACAAGCCCACTTGTGTAGCCTGTGTACCCGGCCATAGCTCCATGAACAGCACTCTGAGCAATGAGTGTACAATACACATTGTCAGCTGCATTGCTTGGAATAGCCCGGATCATGTATGTAGGATTTGTCAGAAAAATTGATCAGGTCCAAATCTTGTTATTTCCCTTCGCAGCACTCTGTTTGATAATTTCTCCAAGTTCAGTTCAAGAAGAAACATAAGACAAACAAGAACGGGAAGTGAGAGGTTACTGACCTGTATATTTAAGAGTAAGAACCATCTTATTTCGTTTTGCAAAATGTTCCTACAAAACAGGAAAGAACTAGTAAGCGACAGCACGAACCTGTTATATTATCACTTGGGAATGCTCATCTTATAGAAAACAAAGAAATCACAAAATATCATAAAACTAAATTCATCAATGAATTATCCATTTCCATTAGATAGCCATGTAATTTTACACTTGTTGTCATGAAGAACATCTGCATGTTTACAAATTGAGAACGTAAATTGAGAGGTATAAGATGCGAAGTTTAGGAAAAATAAAACAGGGGAATAGTTTTTTCCCCCCTCTTTTTGACTAGACAGATTCTCAGTCAGAGGATTAAAACTAGGAAAATTAAAGATCAACAAGCAGCATCACTAGTCCAGAAGAAGAAACTGGAGACTAGAAAAAGATAATACATTAATATACTTCCAAATAGCCTCTGCATAAAAGAAGACAGTTCCAAAAGAATACGTAATGAACTTAAAAAAGTTATTTACATTATGCGGCCCAATAATGGTGCCTGTCCATGAACGCATGTAGATGTCATCTCCATCATCCATTCCATAACTCACATGTACCAAGCTTTTTTATTTATGTTTTATGTCTAACAACTATAATAGTACCAAACTACCATAGCCACCAAAGGTGGAATTTTGCAATCCCAGGACACAACCACCAAACAAGATACAACACACAAAAAGGCAACAAGCATCTAAAGAAGCCAAAATAAATCACAAGGAACTACAGCCCTCAGCATGTATTTCCCAATGCCTTCTCACACATCTATTGGATGTATAATCCTGTCAATGTGGGAATACACAAACAAGCAAAGCCCCATGGGCAATAACGCTCCAACTGTTCACTCAGTGCAATAATTTTCATTTATTATGGCAATGTTATTGTTCTCTGCAAGCCAAGATCTTTGAGGAGGAGGAGCCTGATAGGAGTTTTAAACGCTTCTTAAACAGCACTCATATTGCAAAAGGTGGAGCAGGAGATACCAGGGACTTCATTCTAAGTAGTTTGATGGGATTTGTTTAAAAAACATTGGTCCAAATGCTAGCTTTAAGATCAGGGACACAGGCAGAGGGTTATACAGTAACAGATTCTCAAAATGAGTCCATTGAAGACAACCAAACTTTGTAAATGGCTCTAGTGGCTGATAAGTATGTGGATTCTAGCATTTAAGATAAAATGTCTAGACATTGAGAAGGCATACAACCATGTGTTTTCCTTATCTTGATCACTCATTGGGTTCAACTTGCAAAGCCAAACCTGTTCAAGACTCAGTGGGATAGAGTATGGTTTTAAATTGTGATCGTAGACCCCATTGGTAGTATCTGTGTGCTGTTATGTAATATCAGCCATACCCATGCACTATAACAAAAATGATGGTGCTACATGCACCAATTAGTGTGCTAATTAGTGTACCAACACTAGTTATGACATTATTATTGACCCCACTCATTAATCACATTACAAATCCCAAAAACCTTTTAAATTATGTCACATCATCAATTGGTACACTATTTAGTACATATAGCATTATTCTAACAAAAATTATCAAAAATAACATAACATAACATAAAGTGTGAATTGATGCTGAAACATCTGCTACCATGGCAAATGATCACCTAGCATCTGGCTAACCTACCATAGGTTTCCAAGATAGAGCAGTTGTCAGACACCATCATACCATGGCTATTGTCTTTATGTTTTGAAACATTGCTTCTTTGTTAAACTTACCATTGACTGACACGGTCTTTCATAAAAATAGAAAATAACCAATTAAAAGGCAAATATATATATATATAGAGAGAGAGAGAGAGTGTTAAATACAGTTTGCTTAAAACATACCATCAGGTGAAAAATCTCTTAGAGGCACTGTGATCTGACTCCTTTCTTCTGATCCAGATAAGGTACCTGCAGCATCTCCATCTTCTATATCCATATCTACCTGAAAGATTTGACATGAGAAACCAACAGACTAGTAATAACATCTACAAAAATTATGAACTTCAAGGGGTTAAAAAAAAAGTTACAAACTACTGTTAGATTAAAATTAGACATCGTTAACTTGGTAAATGCATAATAAGAAATTCTCGAGGAAGAAATTAATAATTTTATTTCTGTTCTCTGTTTCCTCCCATTCATAGTACACTCTAGTCTTCTCTTTTCAGTAGTTTAAATATTTCCACTGGATAAGAGACACTTCCCCATATTGATGGTCTGCTGGAATCATAGCATGAAAAACATGTCCACATCTCCGACATGACCCCATAAACTGTTTTTCTACAACGGTCCGACATGACCCCATAAACTGTTTTTCTACAACGGTCCGACATGACCCCATAAACTGTTTTTCTACAACGGTCCGACATGACCCCATAAACTGTCTTCTACATCGGTCTGACACCACCATACAGTGTCCTCTACAACGTTATGACACCATCATCCAGTGTTCTCTACCACGTTATGGCACCACCTTTCAGTGTCTTCACCAACGGTCTGACACGACCATACAGTGTCTCCTATCTTTTTTTATTTTTTATTTTTATGTATTTTCTTGTTTTGTTCCTCTCTCCAAACTCAAGTTGGTTAGTTTCTATCATCCTTGAGTTTGCGGGGGGCTGTTAGAATTTACCACTCACCTACTACCTTCACCTACCTACTCCTCACCTACTACCTTCACCTACCCTCCACCTACTCCTCACCTACTCCCAAATCCTCTTCTATATAATAGGAATCCTTGTACTTGTAATATACACAACAATCTATCAATCAATCAATAATATACATCAAATTTTACAAATTATTAAAATAAATTACATTGACACCCCCTGAGGTTTCTAACAAATACAAGGTAACCCTGAACCAAACCAAAAATTACACTAACATCCCTTGTCAAGGTTGTCGATTGACGGGCATTAAAACTTAACCTCTATCCAAGATACATATGCATCTGATCAAATAACATAAAGAGAATCTCAATAAATTTATCAGGCTGCCTAATGTGAAGTTAATCTGGTGTTTGCCAAAGCAACATACAACAACTTAGAATCAAATGTTTTATATTTTATTTAGCAAAAACAAGATCTACCTGATAATAGTATTGGTCATTAAACGGGCATTAAAACTTAACCTCTATCCAAGATACATATGCATCTGATCAAATAACATAAAGAGAATCTCAATAAATTTATCAGGCTGCCTAATGTGAAGTTAATCTGGTGTTTGCCCAAGCAACATACAACAACTTAGAATCAAATGTTTTATATTTTATTTAGCAAAAACAAAAACTACCTGATAATAGTATTGGTCATTAATTTTGGTCTATCACATCTCCTAAATTTATCCCCTTTTTTCTTGTTGGTTTGATAAAGTGTGATACATTTGTATATTATTACCACATTTTTATTTGATTTTTTTATGAGGATATGAATTAAGATGCATACACAACTTAATTTTTATTTTTTATGCGAACCTAATAAATTTAAAATTGTACTAAGGATGTTACATTTTATTATTAAAGACATAATTGTCTTGTCATTTTTATCTAATTGAGGGCATTCTTATATCTTATAAGTTATATAGCATTGCCCTAATAACCTTGAGGTTATGGGTTTAAGTCTCGGAGCAATCACTTTGTGCACTATGTCAAAGGTTAGGTATATACCCAATCTTTTTTTTTTTTTTTTGATAAATAAGGTGTGTACCCAATCTTTCTCCTCCCAAAGACACATAAATGTGTATTAATTGGGACTCTTTTTTTTCATATCTTATAAGTTATATGTAATAAGAGCATTGTTTTATATTTTAAAATATCAAATTGCTGACAACACCATCTTTAGTTATGTTTTTTTTTAATGTTTAGTTACCATAAGGGGTGTTCTCGTATATTATTAGGAAAAGTAAAGGGTGATTGTAATTGCCCCTGAGATTTGCCTAAAATACTAATCGCCGCCTGAGGTTTGCTGACAACACTGAGGTTGAGCTCAACAGTGAAATCTACAAGAAGAAAGGAGGATCACAGAAATAACAATAAAAAAAAAATGAAAAAAAAAAAATATCATTTACACCAAAAATGATAATTGTGCAAAAGACTCATCTTAATTCTATAAATGAAGAACAAGGATCTGGTGAATCAAATTAATTCATAGAAAATCATATCAAGGAGATAACATAGCCATAGCTTTAAAAGAGGAGAGAAAGGGTTTGTTTGGCATAATTCAAAATTAAACCGGAAACTTTTGACAGCTAATAGAAATTGAAAATCTATGGATTAAATTTTTTTGTTAAGATTTAATATAAAATCAGTTTCATTAGGTGTATTAAGCATTTAGTGATTAGTCAAATTCAAACCCCCTTCTAAGATGACATAGATTTAAGTGGCAGTTGATCATTGCCCATCAAAGACACATAACCTCACAGACTCATTGAAAGTTTTAGACAACATCCCTTAATATAGTTTACCCAACAACTTCTATGCATCCTCTTCTAAGGAAGATGTCAACTAAAAAGACAAAATATGCAGGATAAAAAACTAGACATATAATGTAAAATGACAATCAGGCATTGGATTGTGCTTCAAGATATCTACATTAGACCTCACCTTGGAGGCATCAGACAGAGTGTAGTCTGAGGCCAACAATATACCCAAAAACTTCTGCGTCAAACATCATTATTTCTTATAGTTATGAATAAAATTTTCTTTCATCCTAAAATGTAATTAACTTTATTTGACTTCAGTTAAGACTCATTCTAAACAACCAGCAAACCAGTTGAATCACTTATAACAAAAGAAGCAGAGTATCAATTGAAGTATCCTCGAAATAACCAGTACAAGGTTGGTTTATTTAATTTATATCAGTGCTCAAATTTACAAGCCTTTTCCTAGTTACATGTCAATAATACCAAATTAAAAACCTCACCTTTTCCTTCTCAAACACCTCAGATGAAGCATCAGGTGGAACTAAAGGCCAAACTGCGGGCTTAGGGCAAGATAGCATGCTGAGTGAAGCACTGCACAAAAGAAAAATATATTAGAGAGAGAGTTGGAGGACTACAGTGCAACATCAAAGGAACTCTTTGGCAATGCTGACTACTACTTTCAAATAGGATTGGTATGCTAAAAAGTTGTGTTTCTACCTGTTGACAGGACTTCTTTCTATATCTGAACCAATTAAATATGCAAGCCTCATGAACTGCAACATGGGGAATTACATTGCAATAAGCAATAATTATGGGATAATTCATCGAATAATTTGTCCACAACCAAATATTTACATCATAAATGGGATAATTCATCGAATAATTTATTAAAATTCTTTAAACAATCATCCAACAAAAAATTCAGCAAAACCCAAATCAGATTCCCAAAATTGGAATTGAAACAAGAACGATCTGCAACAAAGGATCTAAACCAAAAAATACCAATTGATCGATCAAAACAAAAGAGACCCATTACAGATTATGAGTTTCAACAGTGATCGGAACCTTTGAACGAGTATTATAAAGAACAAATCAAAATCACGCAGAGAAAAGAGACAAAGAGGGAGAAAAGAGACAAATCAAAATCACCGTGTCACCGCCGGCTGCGGAATGGAGTGAAGCAGCACCGTGCAAGCGAGAGCGAACAGAACACAAAGTCGTGAGCGAATTTGGGGAATGAGAGATTGAATTCAATGCTTTTGATCTCTGAGACTCGCCATTGAAAGGTCGTGTGAGTTGAAGAGACACGGATTGGCAATGAATCGGACGGTGTAGACGACAAATGAAGAGTGTTGTTGTTGTTACAGATAAAGTTGACTCCATTGGAACAGAGCTTCAATTAAAATTCAATTCACAACATCAACTCCATTGGAACAGAGCTTACAGTGCTTCGCCTCTGCTCAGCAGCAACAGCCAACGCAAAGGCAATGACATCGAAGACGAAGACCGCAATCAGTAAGATCTTTGATGTCATTACAATGGAGTTCATCTTCTTCACACACGCCACAGATCTAGATCTATACCTTTGCTTACTCTCTCTACTATGCGTTTTCTCTCTCTACATATAGATATAGATATAGATATAGATATAGAGAGAGAGATAGACTAGAGTGTTGGTGAAGCAAAGAAGTCTGAGATATATATCTACTGAAGCATGTAGATCTTAACTGATCTGCAATGGAGCTCAAGATGGACAGAGCGAAGACCTACGATGGAGCTTGCGAGAGAGAAGCTTGCGAGAGATAGACTGGAGTTTTTACAGCTACGATGGAGCTTGCGAGATCGACAGGGCTTTTTTTTAATTTTTTTTTCTGTTTTCCTAGTGCAAAAATTTCAATTCCCGCCCCACGTTTCAAAATTCCCTCCCAAATTTTTGGCGACCAAAATATCAGATTAGTCGCAGAAAATGTACCCTTTGCCGACAAATTTTTTTAGTTGCCAAATCTCAATCAACGGCGACTAAAATATTAGTCGCTAAAAGTGCTAATTTGGCGACTAATTTTTTTTGATTGCTGAAAATAAGTTTCTGGCGACCAAAATTTTGGTCGCCAAAAAATATGTGACCTTTCGCGACCAAATTTATAGTTGGTCGGCAAAAGAATACCACTTTCTGCGACCAACTTATTTTTTGGTCGCCAAAATATAACCTTCTGCGACCAATAATATTTGGTCGCCAAAAATAATGATCATTCGCGACTAATTAATATTTGGTCGCCAAATGTCATTTTTTTGCGACAAAAATTTTTTTGGTCAGCAAAAGTGGTCGCCAATTGTGTAAATTCTTGTAGTGTCAATCTCCCTATCAATCAAATTCCCTAGTAGACTATCTGGGAAAACATCTAGGAATTCTCTGACTATAGGAATACTGTTCACGTTAGCATTATCATCAGTAGGTACAGTCAATACATAACACATATACCCTTTACACCCGTTCTTAATTAACTTACAGGCTTTCATGGATGAAATCAGATATGGGGGAGGTACTACTCCAACCTCATTAAACACAAAT